TGTCTAATTAATGGGAAAAGTGTGTGTCATTTTAAAGGATGTAAAGTTGTGTCTTTTTAAGAAAGAGAAAGAGATAGATAAAGGAGAAGAGGGAAAGGATATAAGTTGTGTCATTTAAAAGGATAAACACTATTCCCCTAATTAATATGCAAGCATGTTTTTATTATATTTTTTAGAAAGGAATTGTTTTCACAACATCAACATCAACAACACCTTTATCCCAAATTAATTGGGGTCGGTGGTAGATGAACCCAAATAAAAGATACGAAATGGTTGAAAAAAGATAAAAAAATAAATAGAAGAGTAATAATATATATATGGGGATAGTTTTTCTGCAGCGGCTGCAGAGAGCAGTTGTGTACAGCTGACACAGAAAAGTGGGCCCCACAGCTTTAAAAAAAAAAAAACAGAATCCGGCACCGTATGCCTATATATATAGGATCCGGAATCCGGATCCTGGATATATATATATATATATATATATATATATATATATAAAAGTGATAAAAGAAGGGGAAAAGAAGAAAGGGGGGAGATGAAGAGGAAAAAGGACTAAAAAGGGACAATCTGGAACATAGGAATAACAACGGGTTTAACCCTCCATCATACATATAGATTTTCTCCATTTCGTTTTAAGGCACACTGTCCGCCAATCTATATCCCAATCCATTAAGTCTTAAAAAAAATAGTCTTTCCTTTAACTTACTCAAGATTGGATGACATTGTAAAGGTAAACATTTGTTTGTTCAATAGCATTTTTATGTTTTCTTTGTATTTAATTATATGTTGCCATAATGAAGGTACCCACTGGTGGAATTCCTGCCCCTGACAAGTCACAACCACTTGGTACAATCTCTGCTGCACCTTGGGGCTCAGCACTCATATTACCAATCTCTTACACTTACATAGCCATGATGGGTTCTAAAGGACTCACCGATGCATCAAAGATAGCCATTTTGAATGCAAACTACATGGCAAAACGATTGGAGGTTTGTGCTTTGTCATAGATTACGTGTATTTCTTACCCTTATATAACTTTTTTTTTTCTAGTTACTGTCATGTTACTTTATTTCTGTGTCTGAACCTTAGTTTTACTTATACTTTGACTTCTACAGAACTATTACCCGGTTCTTTTCCGTGGAGTCAATGGAACAGTAGCTCATGAATTCATTGTCGACTTAAGAGGCTTTAAGGTAGGTCCATTTAATGATTGCAGTTGTTTCTGAATTAACCTGCAGCATTATTCATGTTGTGATTAATTGTAAGCTATTTTCATTGTAGAACACTGCTGGAATAGAACCTGAAGATGTTGCAAAGCGCCTCATGGACTACGGATTTCATGGACCAACAATGTCATGGCCTGTGCCTGGCACACTCATGATTGAGCCCACTGAAAGTGAAAGCAAGGTATGAGTCCTTATGCTCTCTTTTCTTTGTACTTTCTCTTGTGTGATTTTTTTTTTCTATTATTAACTAAACATCATTGCAGGCTGAGTTAGACAGGTTCTGTGATGCTCTTATTTCCATTAGAGAAGAAATTGCTGAGATTGAGAAAGGAAAAGCTGATATTAACAACAATGTACTTAAGGTAAAAGAATTTTTTGTTCTTTTGATCACTATGTGACACTGTTATTCATTTATGAGATATTAGTAAGAAGAAAAATACTTGTTTTAGTTTGATTATTGAATAATATACACCATAGAGTGCATATTTTATTTACAATTTCATACTAGTTTTAAATACTTTTGAGTGATTGTATAAAATGTTGTGCAGGGAGCCCCTCATCCACCATCACTGCTCATGGGAGATGCATGGACAAAACCATACTCCAGGGAATATGCAGCCTTCCCAGCTTCATGGCTCCGTGTTTCAAAGTTCTGGCCTAGCACAGGTAAAATGTGTTTGTTCATATAAGTATTTGTTTCTTTTGGCATCCTTCTCATAATTAACTTACCTCATTATCCCTTGTTTAAAGTAGTCTCATTCACCCGTAACCTCTATTGTAAGCTATATATGCTATATAGTAGGATAAACAAATCAACAAGAGATAGTTCAAAAAATTAAAAAATTAAAAATTAAAGGACTTTTCTGCAATTATTATTCATGTTACCTCTATCTCCACCTTCATTTTTGCTTCTAGGCTTTTTGACCCATGTAATGCAAAATCTGAGACATATTCTCCAAAATTATTTTAACAAATTATTTAGCAATCTAATGCGAGTAAAACGGGTATAAGAGTGTCCGTATTCAAGTCACGCATCAGCCTCATACATGACTTATGCACAAGCCAGAACTCATCTATGATATGTCGCCCTCCGCAAGACACGTATGGAGATTGTGCGCAACTTGAACACACATTGCCAGGATGCACGACTTATATTGTGCTAACTTTTGCACAAATCAACAGGGAACATGCACATTCCTGATGTATGTTTTACTCGCATTAAATTGATAAATAGTTTGTCAAAAAAAAGTTAAACCGATAAAATGTTTGTGTTGTTGCATTGTATTGGTCAAAAGGCCTCACTTCTATTACAAACAAATATTTTGGATGTATAGGCAATAGGGACTCAATTGTTATAGTAAATATATGATATAGCTGGTGCTTGATTGCTTGTAATCCTTATGCATGAAATTATGGCATGTATATAATTATGTTTGAGTAATGCATATAACTAATAAATGTAAATGTGGTTGGCTGTACCAGGACGGGTTGATAATGTGTACGGTGACCGCAACCTCATTTGCACCCTTCTGCCAGCATCACAGGTTGTTGAAGAACAAGCTGCTGCCTCAGCCTAGTCTTCTATTAACAACTATTTTCATTTCTAGTTGTACATAAACCCTTCCTATTCAAACAATCGTTGCAGCTGTTGTCTTTTGCTTCCTTGTATGTATGATAATGATGATAATCCACTGCTCTTAAGTTTCATCCAACCACAAAGTCCCAATATCTCTCCCCAGAAAAAAAAAAAAAGCAAAAAATTATATATATATATATATATATATATATATATATATATATATATTACATATAGCTGCTGCCATTGTATTATTTAGGAATATAAAAATGAATTTCATTCACGTAAAGAAGATTAAAAAAAATAACAAAAAAATTCAACAGTAGTTCCTATTTAAATAGAATGTATTTGCCATAAGATTTGATCACCAAGATTTATTCGTTTTGTATGTGAAAATGACAGTTCTATTTCTGGCCTAATTATATATGAATGAATATTTTGTCTCTAGACGTGGAATTCATGATTTCTTTACTCAAATCAAGAAGATAAACGTCTAATAGCATGATTGTTTCGCCTTCTCAAAAAAGTAACTTTTATCTCTTTCTTATTTTAGAAGTACTTTTAACAAAAGTTAAAGTTATGTATATTTTTATAAAAATATTTAGTTTTTGAAAAAAATATTTGGCTTTTGACTTCTGCTTTTTTTAGAAGTTAAAATTTTTAGCTTCTGAAAAAAGTAAATTTTTGACTTTTTTAATGACTTTTGTTTTTTTTTAAAAGCAGACATGCAAATAAACTAAAAATGATAAGTGCTTTTTTTCAAGAAAAAAAAGCAACTTTTAGAGAGAAAAAAATCCATCGAAACGGACCCTAAAAGGACAATGGGATTGAATATGAGGCATCCAATTAATGTTAGCAACACATTCAGTCAATTTTACCTAATAATAAAGGTAATGTTAAAGAAGGAGCAACAAAAATTGTTGACATTTAAATTCCTCATAATTCCCTTTTTCTGATTGATTTTTGTTTTCATTTAAAAAAAAGAAAAGAAATGGGAGTAATCACACACGACTCACTTTGAGATCCCAAAAATAACTTAGAGCTCATTTGGAAATTTTTTGTTCTTTAAAAAACAACAGAAATCAAAAGACAAATCTTGCTTCCATGATTATTGTCGCATTATATTTAAATCACATTATATGTGTACAATTTTTAAAATTTTGACATTAACAAGTTTATTATGAATATATTTGCTTACCCACTTTATTTTTTAACCCAATAGAGATTATCTCCGCTTAGGGTGTTAAAATCACTCGACATGACATGAATTTGAACTATACGAATATATTTAATATGAACACAATACAAATTTTTGTTTGTGTCAAAATTTTCAACATAAACATAATCCATAAATTTTGAGAGTTGATATGACATGATACGAACAATATGTAAATTATTAGTCAAAAAGATTTTTGACCAAAAAATCAATAAAAAATGGGTCAAATTTAAAAAAAAATCAAAAATTGGGTCAAATTCATGTTAACATACGATGACATGATACGAATTTTTGCATGTCATGTTTTCCTAATACGACATGAATTTTAATATAGATGAACCGAATATAAATTTTTAAATCGTATAGCTTGTCATGTGAAGAATTGAGATCCTATCTCTGCCCATATACTACTTCACTGCAATAACCGATCTTATAGAATATTTGACATGGTAACAATATGCCGGTATTGTTCTAATTGCGGATCATATTCCTTTAAACACAAAGGAGCAGTGTCAATTTCAGTTAGACAATAGTCCTTGAAACACAAAGACGTTTAATGTCTTTTTTAGTTATATATTTAGGGAATTAGTATTTCTTTGACTTTTTTTAATTAATACTTAAATCTTTATTTTACTTTTAACTTAATTATTAGCTTGTTAAACTCTTTGTTTTAATTTCAACGTACTTTTATTTCAATGAAATTGGATATATCCAAACTCACTATAAAAAAAGGTTTGAAGCTTATGCTTTTGTTGCAGAAAAATTTCTCTACTTAAGTCTTATTATAAAGAGAAGAAAAAAAAAATTAATTAAAACCTATTCAATTTTACGTGAGTGTGATAGAGAATTTTTTCTTTGTCAAAAATAAAAATATTTTTTCCTTATAAAAAAACTTTTGGCCTCGTTTAAATGTGTTTTTGTGTTTTTTTGAAAATTCGTTTAAATGTTTCTTGATCCATCCAAAGTCATAGTTTTCTATATTGTTTGGGCCATAGGCCCGTGGTTGCGAAACCCTAACTAATGTGATTTTCATTTTTAGCAAAACCCTGACTACGATTACCGTCTCCGTCAACGTCGATTGGCCGAGAAGGTATTGCGATTCCCGCTGTTTCTTCTCTGCTCAGTTTGGTATATTTCGAAGCTACTAATTGGTTTCAGCAATTATGTATTTGGAATTATATAATCTCTCATTTTGCGTTTCTTGGTTTTTTGTTTTGTGGTTGTTGTATGAATAAATTGATTTTTGGTTGTATCTTCACGGGTGAGTTTTGCCAAATGCTCCTTGTGAATTACAAAGTTGTGAGTTTTAGTTGTTGTCTGGTTTTGTTCATGGTAATGGCTCTATAGCAATGAAGTTCCTGAGAAAAATAGTGACTAAACTCTTTGTGAGTTTTTTTGGAAGCAATAGTGTGCACTCTGTTAGTGTTATCCCTCTCTCTCACACCTTTTTTCTTTGAATGCTTCTTGACTCTAGTTTATAAGGCCAAAGGGAAAGAAGATGAAGACAATTTCTGGACATTGTGTTTCATTGAAAGAAATATCACTTTCAAAAGCAGCAAAAATTCTCTCCAAGTTTGTCTCTGCCGAGAACGGTGCTTCACATGTCATCAGTGCATATCTCCACCGGGCCTCTGCATCTTTCAATGAGCTGGACCATCTCCACAAGGAGCTTAAGTCGTCGCGCTCTCATAAGAAGAAGAACAAAGGGCACGCGACAGAGACTGATGATGATAGCGGGAGAGTGTTGGAAAATTCTGTTCGGAGTGTTGAGACTAATCAAGAGCTCAATCCTGGGAAGGTGCAATCTGTGGACGAGTTTAGAGGGCAACGGTTTGGCAGTGAGTATGCTGACGACGATGATGAAAAATCAGCTCGGACTGTTGTTAATTTCAGTCAAGAACTTGATGGTTCTATTGGGTATCAAGCAGGAAATGTGGGTGGGAGTGAGAAGCACAAGAGGAATAAAAAGAAGAAACAGGAAGTTGAGTCCAGGCACGATAGAGATAGCGGAGTTAAATTTGGAGAGAGGGAAGGTGATGAAAAACCATCTACTGTGGAAAAAAATGAAATTTTTTCAGGCCGAGAACAGGGCAATGAAGGTGAGAAACAAAAAAAAGGAGAACAAGAAAAAGCACAAGGATGGTAATTGTAATTTTTCCAGTAACAAGGGTGAGGTTGAGAATCTCAAAGGTGAGAATACAGAGGGACAAGAACAACAGAAAGAGATAGAAAAGAAGCTATTCAACAGTGTATCTTGTTCGGAATGAGTCTTTAAATTCCTCGTAAAGATGATACTGGAATGATTGAACTCATGCTCACACCCCGCATGTTCAGCTCCAATGCACCAATTGAGCTACATAATTTGATAACTAGAAGACAATTCTATTCGAGTTGGAAACATCCACGTCATGGTAGAGGTAGCTCTCACTTCTAATAAAATACTTCAAAACTTTGGTTCTCACTTCTCATGACAAAAGACAGTAAAATTCCGAAATAAACAAAATATTTTTATCGATGTCTACAATGAACTCATGATCTATCATTTTTTGTGTCACTTTTTTTTTTTTGGGAGGGGTCGTTTAGGAGAATAATCTGTTTCGGTTATTAGTATATCATAAAGGGAGCAGAAGATGGGACATAAGACAAGGAATTTGAATTCCAATGATCTAATGTACCTTCTGAAAAACTAATGGTCGGCCACTGGACTACGGATCAAACAATACTTGGTATTATATAACTGATGAGATTAATAGAATATTTTAAATATTTTCATAAAATGATTACATACTTTTTATTTAAATATGTAGAATTTATTTTAAAAAAATTAATGAGCTGAGTCAAATTTTTATGTTCATTAATTACACATCTCGTTGTTCTTTCTTTTTAAGCTATACTATCTTAATTTGGTTCAAAAAAAAAAAAATTCAATTTCTCTTTAAGTTCTAAGGTGCAAATATCATAAATAAAAAATAACAAGCACTCAAATACTTCCAATCAAAGGTTTTGAGTTTTAAGGTATGAATTGGACACTTGAATTAGAGTAATTGAATTTCAGATGAACTAGTTAAAAAAAAAAAACCACCGCTAATTAAGTAATTTTTTAAGGAATAAATACCCTTTTTTGGTTCTTAGCAAATTTCACGATATCTGTTTTAGTTCTCAACAAATAAAAATGCTCATCGTGGTCCCTAAAAAATTCCAAATAGATCCATTTTAGTCATTTTGAGGAATAATATGGATCTTTTTTGAATTTGTGAGAGATCACGATTTCAACTAAATGGGTCCATTTTAAATTTCTTATGAACCACGATAAGCCTTTTTATTTGCTAGAACTAAAGTGGGCATAGTAAAATTTGATGGGGATCAAAAATAATATTTACTCGTTTTTAAATTAACTCATGGAAACATGCACTGAATAAAATTTTATTTATAATTTGATCTGGTAACATTTTTTTCAAAAGAAAGTCGACTTTTATTGCACATTGTGTGTGGCAAGCATAATATAAAAGGGTAATAAACTGGGCCCCTTCAAACACCTAAAAAATGACCGTTTTGCAGTTCCCAATTCCAGGTTCCGTCCTCGGAGTGCTCGAACACTTGAATGTGTTACCATAACATTAGTCTCTCTCTCTCTCACATTTCAAAATTCAAACTTTCAAAATTGTGAAAACAAAAAGTTACAACTTTTCTTATACATCATCAAACACTAAGCTCCAACGTTGTTCTAACAAGACAAATTCTTGTATAACCAATCTATGTTCTTCATTTTCTTGAGCTGCGAGTACAAAATTGAAGTCTCATTCTTAAGAAACTGAGTTATTCAATTCTATTTTATCAGTTTCAGAAGTTTTCTGCTCACACAATGAGGGAAGACAACCCATCAGAGAACAGGTCCAAAGCTTCAAGATTTGCCGATCAAAACCAAGCTCCGAAGTTTCAAAATGCCAAAGGGGGCAACCCCAATAACAATCACTCAAAGCCAAGGTTGTGGGGTGCCCACATTGTCAAAGGGTTCAACGTTGAGAAGAAAACCAAGCTTCAATCAACGGTTCCCACCAAAAAACAAACGCTAACAACAACAACAACAACAACCTCGGATGTTGCAAACCTGAAGAACCCATTTGTGCCGGTTCATTCACGGGTCAAGAGGTCCCTCATAGGTGACTTGTCATACTCCATAAATGCTGCTCAGGTTCATCCCCACGCTTTTCCGGCACACCGGAGACAATCATCCACCGACTTGTTCACCGAGTTGGATCACATGAGAAGCTTGCTTCAAGAATCCAAGGAGAGAGAGTCCAAGCTTCATGCTGAGTTGGCAGAGTGTAGGAGGAACCAGAGTGAGGTTGATGAGCTTGTGAAGAGGGTTGCTTTGTTAGAAGAAGAGAAAACCACCCTCTCTGAGCAATTGGCTGCATTGACCTGTGTCTCGGAGAGACAAGAGGTGGCACTCAAAGGGGAACATAAGGATAGTTCAGTGCAGAATCTTGAGCTGGAAGTTGTTGAATTGAGAAGGCTGAATAAGGAGCTCCAGATGCAGAAGAGGAACCTCACTTGCAGACTGTCTTCTACGGAGTCTCAGTCGTCTTGTCCTGCCAAATCTTCAGAGGTAATTTTTCTCAATTTGGTTGACTCATTTTTATGAGACACAATTTCTTTTCTGTTTTCATTTGGGGTGTTAGGTTGAAATGGATTATAATTATAGATGTAGGGTGAGGTTATTTTTATAACTTTTTTTTATTTACAACTCTTACAACATCAACTATATACTTAGTTGAGAGTGTTCTCCGGAATACATAATTTAAGTTGTAAACAAAAAAAGTTGTAAACTAACCCTTCCCATAGATGTAATATGAACAAGTGAATGTACAAATTAGAGGAAGAGAGGAAGGGGGGTTAATTAATATGAATTTAAATTACTTAATCAATCTTCACTACCTAACTGATGGAGAAATTCTTTCATTTGAGATTCCAAATTTCTTTTGGCTCATTGATTTGTTTTAGTTGGATATTTTTCTCTTCTTAGAATTTGTTCTTCTTAATTTTTGATGTATTGTATGTTTTGCTAGTTGTTTATATTTACCCTTTTATGTTCTAGTTTCACCAATAATTTTCTAAAATCGTAAGGGTGAGCTTTACTTTAGTTTTGCTGATTTACCCTTTTGTTTTCCCCACCTTACTGTCCCTTCTGATCAGAGTGACATTGTTGCCAAAATTAAAGCCGAGGCATCATTGCTCAGGCTCACAAATGAAGACCTGAGCAAACAGGTAGAAGGTTTACAGATGAGCAGATTAAATGAGGTTGAGGAGCTTGCCTACTTGAGGTGGGTGAATTCATGTTTAAGAAACGAGTTGAAGAATACATGCTCAGCATTGGATTCTGATAAGCCATCAAGTCCTCACTCTGATGTGTGTAATAGTGGAGATTGTGTTAGTTCTTTCTCTGATCAAAGCAATCAGTACTTAAACTGTACTAGTGCAAATAGGTTTAGTTTGATGAAGAAGCCAAAAAAGTGGCCCATAACTAGTGATCATTTGTCACAAGTAGAATGTCCAGATAGTCTCATTGAGAAAATTTGGATTGAATCAGAGATAGGGGGAAGCCCCAGAAGAAGACACTCTATTAGTGGATCCAACTGCTTAGAGGAAGGGGTTGCCCTGAGTAAGAGAAGACAGTCTGATTGTTTTGTATGTTCAAAAGAAATGGAAAAGGAATCAGTACCATTATCTGTTCAACAATCTGGTTTGGAGATTGTCCAAAGACCACAATATTTTAGCAATTGCCAAGAAGCTAACAAACTTTTGGTTTCTTTTGATGTTGAGAAGAGGGCCTTACGTATTCCTAATCCTCCCCCTAGGCCTTCATGTTCTATTTCTAGCAAAATAAAACAGGAAAGTTCAGCTCAAGTTCCACCCCCTCCACCTCCACCGCCACCACCACCTCCTATGAATTTTGCATCAAGAAGTAGCACAGCCACGGTGAAACGAGCCCCGCAAGTGGTGGAATTGTACCATTCACTTATGAAGAGAGATTCTAGAAAGGATTCTACAAATGGAGGACTCTCTGATGCACAAGATGTTGCTGATGTTCGTAGCAGCATGATTGGAGAAATCGAAAACCGTTCTTCACATTTGCTTGCTGTGAGTAGTTTTCAGCAGAATTATCAAGCCATCTCAAAGTCTTTTGTATCTTATTTTGTATCTTATATTGCTAATAACTATCCCTTGATATGTAGATAAAGGCAGATATTGAGACTCAGGGAGAATTTGTGAATTCACTGATTAGAGAGGTGAACAATGCAGTTTATCAGAACATAGAAGATGTAGTGGCATTTGTGAAGTGGCTGGATGACGAACTCTGCTTCCTTGTAAGTTGCCTTTTTCTTATGACCTATGTAGCTTGAAATTATGCTATATGGACAAATTAAGGTATAGACATTGCTACTTTGAGCAATAGTAAATAGGTCTAAATTATCCTTCACAAAATTTAAATATATAGTTGTTATTGTTAAAGGGATCCATAGTAGATTAATTTCTGTTATTTCTTTGAAAATTTATGAATACTATGCATATTTTTGTCATATGATATAATTATGATTGTGTATATTCAAAGGTGGATGAGAGGGCTGTCCTGAAGCATTTTGATTGGCCAGAGAAGGAAGCTGACACATTAAGAGAAGCAGCATTTGGGTATCAAGATTTGAAAAAAATTGGAATCTGAAGTTTCCTCCTACAAGGATGATCCTCGGCTACCTTGTGATATTGCTCTAAAGAAAATGGTTGCATTATCAGAAAAGTGAGCTACTCAAATATCAAACAAAATGCTCTGTGTCACTTTGAGGTTCTAAATTTAGTCTGTTTTGCAAGACACTTACTTATGCTTATGTTTCACTGTCAGGATGGAGCGTACAGTTTATAACCTTCTTCGCACGAGAGAGTCTTTAATGCGTAACTGCAAGCAGTTTCAAATTCCTATAGAATGGATGCTTGATAATGGAATTATCGGCAAGGTAAACCATACTATGCATCAATCCTTACAAAATGTAAATGATAAGTATCTGCAAGAGATTATACTAGTTCCATTACAAGAGCATAATATATATTAGTGCTAATTCAAATCCTATAATTGTCACTTTGTGAAGGGCTTTGCATAACAAGTATGAGCAAATGCTTCTCCCAAAAAAATTATTAGTATATGTTTCTTTTGGATTTTGTAAACTGTTCCCCGAAAGGTTGATAAGAAAATAAGCATGTTACTTATTGATGTGCTGGCCCCTAAATTAAGGCTTTGGCTGGCGAATAGGTCTTTGTTAACAATCACCCTTCTGGCAAGATAGTTGCGAATATTCTGATGGTGTTCTATCTGATATTGCTTCTTTATAGCATTAATATATCTTCACATAAGATTTGATTCAACAACTACTTTTTGCAGATAAAGCTAGGTTCAGTTAAATTGGCCAAAAAGTATATGAAAAAGGTAGCTATGGAACTTCAAGCAAAGTCAGCATTAGATAAAGATCCTGCAATGGATTACATGCTTCTCCAAGGTGTGAGATTTGCTTTTAGAATCCACCAGGTATGTCCTGTAATAAGGGTGTCAAAACCACTCAATACGACACGAATACACGTAATACGAACACGACATGAATTTTTATTTGTGTCAGAATCTTTGACACGAACACGACCTGCAAATTTTGCGAGTTGATACGACACGACACTACACGAATAACATGCAAACTATGGATGAAAACAGCAATTGACCAAAAAAAATTTAAAAAATGGATCAAATTTACAAAAAAAAAATATGGGTTGAATTCGTGTTGACATAACATGACACGCGGCATGACACGAATTTTTGGATGTCATGTTTTCCCAACACGAAGACGACGCAAATTTTAATATGGGTCGTCAATTCAAACATGAATTTTCGTGTAGTGTCAACGTGTGGTATCAAAAATTGACACCCCTATCTTGTAATATACTTCTGCATCTTTGTCCAATATTTAGGTTACACCTACAAAGTAAAGTAAAATTCATGTTTATTCACTCTAGGATTAGCAGTACACAGAAAGAGAAAAAGGGCTTAAAGCAAATTTTCTACAAAACTTTTTCTAGAATCATTATTTTATTTTTCCAAATAAAACTGTATAATAGTAACATAACGCATGTTAAAGTGAGTGACTCTTGAAAATGTGATAAGAGGTAATGTTTATTTATTTCTCAATGCAGTTTGCAGGAGGATTTGATGCAGAAACGATGCACGCATTTGAGGAACTTCGTAATCTTGCCTCTCTACTTAATAAAACATAAGAGAATGGTGATAGGTTTCAGCTTACACTCTCAGTAAGCTGTATACTAACCTTTTCATAGTTGCAATCTGGATTAGTTTGTGTTTGGTCTGTGATTGCATTACATTTTGGTAGTGAGAGATAGGCAAGATTTTGTTATATATATGAAGGTCTTTTTGGAGAGATCAATTGTATTCAAATAGCAGAACGATTTCAAAATCAAATTATGTTATGTAACTCATTACAACAATGGAGAAAACGCATTATTATGTGGTAGAACGAGGTTCCCTCCTAGCATTTGAGAAATTTTTATAGGCTTGTGTTTTTGTAACGCCAATAATTTGATTTGATTAGAGAACTTTTAATTACTTGACTTTGGCATATAAAATTCATTGTTGTTATGGACCAGAATGAGGCCCATGGTCAGTAAGGCTCATGATCAGCACAGGCCCACATGTAAGCATTATAAATAGGAGCTAAACGCTACAGGTATGACCTAATCTCTTTTTACCTATTTACGCAGTCTAGATAGTACACACACACACCTCTCCCAAGGCTAAGGCCATCAGATAGTGTGTGATCTGCTGTCCTCAAGATACCTAACTCATAGGTATCCAGAGAAGACGCCTGAATCATAGATCAATCATCCAATCCTAATTGGACAAATCTGCCTAGGGCAGAACAATTGTATTGAGACAGGCATGGAAAAGGGTAATAGGCACGAAAATTTTGCATGGTGCATTGTATCACGCTCGAGTTGAATATGAAAAATTTGTATGGATAAAACTTGTCCACTAAATTCGTGATGCTTAAATTAAATTTATCCCCTAAAAATTAATATGGATTATACTTTAACTAATTTTAATGCGAAAAAACGTAGGTGTATTTTTTTCTCTCTCTTTGTGACTCTCAACATCATTTGTGGTTAGGTCTGAATTCTTAATATTGGAAAATTAAATAAAGAATTTGTGTGAAGTTACAGAATTAAAATAAAGGTGTTCAAAGTGTAAAGAACCTTGAGGTCACCACCCCAAAAGCTAGCTCTATCCAAGTAAGAATGGTGAATGGATATGGTTATTTTCTACAGTCAAGGGGATTAATCTTCAATTCACAGAGTGGCTAAAGCTTGGAAATCCTCTATCTTCGTGCATTGGCCCACTGCCTATTGTGATTCCCAGGTTTGAAATGTGAATATCGTTGGCCACCCCCTTGCTTGGGGAGATCATTTATTTCCAGAACTTGTATTGTCCTCTGCCTCTTAGCATTTTCAACTTGTTGATAACGCTCATGAAGTTTCCTCTTAGTGGCCTCTAGCTTTACTTGGACTGCAGCTTCATCTGAAAACTTGGATTTATCTTTCTGAATCATGGGAGGCTTCTTTGGGATTGTATTGTTCTCTATTTTTGGCTGCCTCTTTGGCTCCATATTGCTTTTTCGCTGCATAGTTGATTTTGGGGGTCTGACAGGGCCATTATCAGCAATTTTTGGTTTATTTAGCCTCACAGCAACCTCATTTTTCCTTGGTTGCTGACTCTTACTGTCCTTGGCAGTGATGGATGGCTCAATGGAAGCCTCAGATTTTCTCCTTTCTACAACTTGACTGTCCAAAGCTGGCTTTTCTCCCATTTTCACAGTTTCTGTTGAATTGTCCACTCTGTCGAGGATTTCCATAATCATTCATGCCATCGATTTTGGGGGTGTGAAAGGGTGGATCTGGTAGTATCTGGGGATCATGAAGAGGTTGATGATCATGGGGGTTTCAAGAGGGGTTTTAAGAGAGATGGGCTTGCCCTTGAAGCAGAGGCAAGTGAAGAGAGCAAGGTCAACAGCAGCAGAGATGGCCGTGGAGAGATGCATGTGAATCATGTTAGCAATTATAGCTTTGGGGAAGTTGAGGCATTAACTGATGAGATTGAAGAAGAGTTTCAGCATGTTGGGGAGGTTTTGAGGATCCGAAATGTTCTGCTTAACTTTAAAGAAGAGTCTGACTCTGTGTTATTTGAGTCATTGAGGAGGCTCCAGCTGATGGAACTCACTGTGGATCTTCTAGAGGCAACTGAGATTGGAAAGGCTGTCAATCCTCTCCGAAAGCATGGATCAAAGGATATTAGTCAACTCGCACGGACTCTTTCCAGCAATACTCTTATTGATTGCTGGAAAGAGTCGCGCTCTCATAAGTAGAAGAACAAAGGGCACGCGACAGAGACTGATGATGATAGTGGGAGAGTGTTGGAAAATTCTGTTCGGAGTGTTGTGATTAATCAAGAGATCAATCCCGGGAACCTGCAATCTAAGGACGAGTTTAGAAGGCAACGGTTTGGCAGTGAGTATGCTGATGACGATGATGAAAAATCAGCTCAGACTGTTGTTAATTTAAGTCAAGAACTTGATGGTTCTATTGGGTATCAAGCAGGAAATGTGGGTGGGAGTGAGAAGCACAAGAAGAATAAAAAGAAGGAACAGGAAGTTGAGTCCAGGCAAGATAGAGATAGCGGAGTTAAATTTGGAGAGAGGGAAGGTGATGAAAAACCATCTAATGTGGAAAAAAAATGAAAAATTTTCAGGCCGAGAACAGGGCAATGAAGGTGAGAAACAAAAAAAGGAGAAGAAGAAAAAGCACAAGGATGGTAATTGTAATTTTTCCAGTAATAAGGGTGAGGTTGAGAATCTCGAAGGTGAGAATACAGAGGGACAAGAACAACAGAAAGAGATAGAAAAGAAGCTATTCAACAGTGTGGAGGGGGGAAATGGAGGGCTAGTTGGTCCTCAGGACTTACAAATTAAGAAGAAAAGGAAACACGAGGCAGGGAATGTGAGTAAGTTATATGCTGAAGAGGTAAAGATGGAGCAAAGGAGGAAGAGGAAGAATGAAGATGTGGAAGGGAGACAAGAAGATAGATCTGGGGATCTGAGTAAGAAGAGAATGAAAAGGAAGCACCAGAGCGATCCTCAGTTTTAGGTTTTTTATAAATTCACTTGATAGTTGTTTAATCTTTTTTGAAATTGATGAGGAATTTGCACCTGTGGGATTGCTTACATTGTGGCATCAGTTTTTGAACTATCATATAATATGAGAGGAATTTGCTTCTTGATTTCTTTCCTACATATTTTTTTTTTTACCATACTTTTATATGGTCTTACAAGTGTTACTGCATAGAAAAGGCATTATTTCTATTGCAATCATCAGCTGTTGGTGTACTAAATCCATCGTGTAGACAATGTGCTGCAATCACCAGAGATAATTGGCTCTTGGAGTTAACATATTTTTAAGGTAACTACTTTTTCTTTATTGAAAAATAAAAATAAAATACCGTGTCATATGAATTCTGGCAGGTTCACTGATATTAGTTGTCTAGATCTGAGGCAGTTTGGTGCCACTAATGCAGAATTTGTGGCTAAATACATAAAGAAAGCTGCGTATTTAATGATTACGTAGTGTTTATATATGTTTTGGTTGTAAATTTATTCTGGCCATAGTCACAGATGTAGCTAGAAGCACTAATCTTAATTGCATTGGGTAGGAGAACATATCTAATATCCAAATCTTGTGTTCTTGACATGTTAGGAAATTTGTTTTCCAGTTGCTTGGCATTAATCTCCTTGTTCAGAGGTTAAGTTACATAATCCTGCTGTGTCTAGTAAAATTCAATTTTGCCTACAGATTTTTCATACGAGATCATAAGCATAAAAATGTATGCTAACAGGTTGCTTCCCTCCAGAGATTGGTTATTACCAAAAGTTTGAAGCTTGTTCGACAATATACTAACTTAAAAATCATAACAGCAGAAGAAAGTACCAGCAGATAATGGAATTTTGAATGTTTTATTATGGTTCGTGGTAGCTTACTTGGTAGTAAGGGAGCTGAGTAGTGGAAAGGAAAATATGCCACATTTGGGAGGGATTTAAATATTTTCATCCCTGACTTGCTTCGCACTCAGAATTAGTTTCATAGTCAGTTCAAAGAGCCGAAGCTTGTGGGGATACGGGAGGAATTGTTCCAGCTTACCTGATCAGTTGTTTCTTCAGTTAAATGTAATTTTTTTTTTAATGTTGTGGACTACATTGGAATTCAATTGGATAAACAGTTCCGCTTATTTTTTAACTATATGTATGCTAATTGATACTAGATTTTGCTTGTTTTTCGATGCTTTATGTGCAATATATGATGTAATTCTATCCGTGAATAGATAAAGTTATCGGACTTCGAATTATATGTTCAGGATGGTCATATTGCATTAACGATCTAACATCATATAGCATCTTCAATTTTGTTCTTTTGCTTTTTAATTGCCTTTTATTTCAATTAAATATGAGAAACGCTGGTTCAAAAAACTCTGCGGACTGACTATTCTGCACATTATAATTTATTTATTTTTGGTTTGGAATTTTATGCAGAGCAACCCAGGCTGGCGATTTGACGAGAAAGGCTATTTATTTTTGGTTTGGGATTGATGATCGTATTTTGTTATCATTTTGTGCTACTAAATAAAAGAAGCCAAAGTAATGACTCCAAAGTTTAATGTACTGAAAGACCCTACTAGCACTTCATTCGTTTAAAAATTGACAATCATGTTATTAACAGTAGCTTAAAACTACTCAGCATTCACTAAGTGAGATCGTCATCTGAGTTTTCTGATAAAAACAAAGGGATTCTCATGTTGCATGATAAGTGTTTTCTCATATTGTGTCTTTTCGATTTACGTGTAAAACTTTTTTTTTTTAATAAGTGTGGGATCCATAACTAATTCAGTCATAACATGAAAATTAAATTCTCATGTAATATGAGAAAATCAAATTCCAAGAACAAATTACATACATGTTTATGCTATTACTTTAATAATGCCTCAACCCACCTCCCCAAAAATGATAAGAAGAATGCAAAATCTATAATTACTTGTTTCTTTATATTTTGGAAGGCACATGACCTGTTGGAAAGCTTATTGGGTATGGCTCAAATACCACGTGAGCACATGCAACGCCTTCATGTGAGAATGTTCCCCTATTGCACCTTAATTGGGTGAATGGTTATTTAAACAGTATATTTAAACAGTACACCTTAACCTCTATATTTCTCCCTGCGATATAGAACTAAATTGGAGCTGCACAACGGTTCTCTCAGATAATTTTCCAGTGTATAGCTTCAGATAATCAACTCAACACGACAAAGGGAACTTTATATCTAAAAATCAATGGTACAACCACCAATCAGCTCTGCAGCCTCAACTTCAGAGAATATGGAGTCATAATTATCTGAGGATACAAATGCTAAAAATGTGTATCTCAGATTTTTGTACCATTGTCTAGGTATTTCGTGCATTTCTTCGTGATATGCGTCTAACATATGGTGATTTCTAAGTAAAAGAAGTAAGGAATTAATCATAAATGTGTGAAAATAAGCTCATAAATGCAAGAAATATTGATTAATCATTCTCACTCATTCTCTTGCTCAATTTCTGTATTTTGATAGCAGGAAACACCAAAAAGAAGTGAAAGAGAGAAGTTGAAATTGCATAGTCTTGCGCAAAACGCACGAAAATGGCGCGATCCGCGTGATTTTGGCAAATTACTTTCGGTTTGTACGCACGATCCGCGCGGATTTGGCGCTGATCGCGCAGGCGTCATGAATGCAGTCCTTGATTTGTGGAGTCGCGAATTTGGCACTGATCGCGCGGGCGTCATGAATGCATTCCTTGATTTGTGGAGTTTGATGAAAATGGAAATTTAATCAAATTAATAGAGGATTATGACTTGATTGATTGGTGGAATTATGAGAAAAATTGAAATGTAATCAGAATTAATTAGAGGATTATGACCTGATTGATTGGTAGAATTATGAGGAAAATGGAAATTTAATCAGAATTAATTCAAGGATTATGACCTGATTGAGTTGCTGGCTATATAAAGGAAGCAGAAACTCTAAAAGAGGATCATCTTTTGACAAGGAGAAATTGGAGAGGAAGCTCTCGGTGACTGAAGATTCAAGACTTCTTCTTCTTCCGGTTTTACATTTTCATGAACTCTTTCTCATTATTTAAATTGTCAGACATGAATATGTCTGGCTAGTCTTTTTTTATTGTGGTAAGAGTCACAACTCTTGATGTCAACCCCTTGTATTTTGGTTAAGTTTATGGTTAATTATTTAATTGAATTTATTTTACTCTATTGTTCATCCCATAATTCTTTTAGAATTCGCGACTCTGTTAGGATTGCGAGGGTTAGGGTTTACAATAGGAATATTGGGATTCTAATTCCTGACAAAGGGTAAGATAATTGTTCATGTATGCATTAGGGATAGGCTATATGAACTGCAAATGTGGAAAATTCGCTGGGCTTAAAGATTAACTTGAAAAGGGATTTCTAAGGGATTAGAATTCTAATAGGGTTAATAAGGTTAAAATCACTAAGGGATTTTATTTGGTCAATTGGATAATTAAAGATAAATATTAATCAATATTACAAGGTGGGGATCAGAAAGGTGTTGGAGTCTTTTAATGCAATAGTTTCTTTACAATATTTTCTCAAATCTCAACCCCTCTTGCTTTAAGTTTTCAACTTTTCTTGAATTGTTCATGAATTATTGAATAATTCACAATTGTTACAAACACAATTACTTTCAAATCAACTCTTGTTCTTCCATTCTTAAAAGGAACAATTAATTGATATTCGATCAAATCCCTGTGGAGACGGTACTTTTCTTATCAGTTTATTACTTGAAACGAACGATATACTTACCGATTTCGCAACACTTCGCTGTTGACAATATGTATGATGTTGCAATAGAAGTAAGTTAAAGGTAAAAATTGGTTAAAATAGACTATCTCAACTAGAATTTTTTTCCTTTTTTTGATAAAACACGGATATCTTTGACACGAGAGATAATCTTGTTCAGAACGAGTCTTTAAATTCCTCATAAAGATGGTACTGGAATGATTGAACTCATGCTCACACCCCGCGTGTTCAGCTCCAATGCACCAATTGAGCTACATAATTTGATAAGTAGAAGACAATTCTATTGGAGTTGGAAACATCCACGTCATGGTAGAGGTAGCTCTCACTTCTAATAAAATACTTCAAAACTTTGGTTCTCACTTCTCATGACAAAAGACAGTAAAATTCCGAAATAAACAAAATATTTTTATCGATGTCTACAATGAACTCATGATCTATCATTTTTTGTGTCACTTTTTTTTTTTTTGGGAGGGGTCGTTTAGGAGAATAATCTGTTTCAGTTATTAGTATATCATAAAGGGAACAGAAGATGGGACATATGACAAGGAATTTGAATTCCAATGATCTAATGTACCTTCTGAAAAACTAATGGTCGGCCACTGAACTACGGATCAAACAATACTTGGTATTATATAACTAATGAGATTAATAGAATATTTAAAATATTTTCATAAAATGATTACATACTTTTTATTTAAATATGTAGAATTTATTTTAAAAAAATTAATGAGCAGAGTCAAATTTTTATGTTCATTAATTACACATCTCGTTGTTCTTTCTTTTTAAGCTATACTATCTTAATTTGGTTCAAAAAAAAAAAAAATTCAATTTCTCTTAAATAAGTTCTAAGGTGCAAATATCATAAATAAAAAATAACAAGCACTCAAATACTTCCAATCAAAGGTTTTGAGTTTTAAGGTATGAATTGGACACTTGAATTAGAGTAATTGAATTTCAGATGAACTAGTTAAAAAAAAAAAAACCACTGCTAATTAAGTAATTTTTTAAGGAATAAATATCATTTTTTGGTTCTTAGCAAATTTCACGATACCCGTTTTAGTTCTCAGCAAATAAAAAGGCTCATCGTGGTCCTTAAAAAATTCAAAATGAATCCATTTTAGTCCTTTTGAGGAATAATATGGATCTTTTTTTGAATTTGTGAGAGATTACGATTTCAACTAAATGGGTCCATTTTAAATTTCTTACGAACTACGATGAACCTTTTTATTTACTAGAACTAAAGTGGGCATCGTAAAATTTGGTGAGACCAAAAATGATATTTACTCTTTTTTAAATTAACTCATGGAAACATGCACGGAATAAAATTTTATTTATAATTTGATCTGGTAACTTTTTTTCAAAAGAAAGTCGACT